GGAGTCCCAGGGCCGGCGGTGCAGTGCTGTATCTTTTTATTCGCGGCAGTTTGGCTTTTTTAAAACTTTGGAGCCGCGGTGGTATAAAAGACTGAGTCTGGAAAGGGCCGCCGTTCCCAGTTCTCTTTCCTCCAAGTTTGCGATTCCCCGGTCCAACATGGACAAAGTCTGTGCTGTGTTTGGCGGCTCCCGGGGCATTGGCAGGGCAGTGGCCCAGTTAATGGCCCAGAAAGGCTACCGACTGGCCATCATCGCCAGAAATCTGGAAGTGGCCAAAGCCGCCGCCGGTGACCTCGGCGGTAGGTACCGACCTGCAGTTGTCCAGTTGTGTGGCTGCCCTTCAAGCGCCTTAGGGCTCCTCATTTTTAAAACAAAGTGGGTTTGGTCTTGACGGTTCTGTGATCTGGCAGGTCAGCGCCCGTGCCTGGAGCAAAGACACTGTCCAGAGTGTAGACTGCAGCTTGGGCCGACTTCCTCCCCGTCGTGTTTCCCGCGGAGTGCCCTCTGCCACCCTGCCCACCTCCGAGGGCTGAACACGTGGGGTTTTCTTTGAGACTTAGACTGTCTTGTTGAAGCCCTATTAACAAGCACCCACCTCCCTGGAGCTAGTGCTGTTGGTGAGGAGCGGCTTTGTTTTGGCGTCTGGAGGTAGAGAACCACCCAACAGTTAGCTTTTTATGTAGGGCAAAGGGCTCACCCGTGGCGCGAGATCCCGGGCGCCAAGGAGGCAGGGCTGGGCAGGAAGGAGTCCGGGCAGGAAAGGTAGGCGTGTCACGCTTAAAAGGCTCGCTTCAGTTTTGCTGAGGGCCGTTCCTGCCCGAGTGTGGAGGCACACAACTGTTTCATAGAGAAACTTTTGAGTACCAGCCAGTTTTAAGATGTACCTGGTTTGCTTTACTACCACCATAAGCACTTAATAAGTTCCTGAATTCTGTTGGTGACTTTTACAAATGGGCAATTGAGATTTGCCCTGCCAAATTATTTTTATTGCATATAAACCTCAAATGGTTTTGTTTAGTAATAGATCAGTAACTTTTGCGTTGTTTTGCGAATTTAAGTCTCTTGATCGTAAGGAGAAATAGGATGTTTGAAAGATATTAAGATACTGGTATTTGTGTAATTACTAGGATGGACACACATTTACTATCAGGGAGTCATGGGGGGCGGGAGGGAGGTGGGGAGTAGAGGCCTGGGGATGCATCTGGTGGCTGTAACCTTTAAAATAGCATGACTTATTGGTTCACTGTAATTGGTTACATGGGTTGGGGGACTATTAGACGTTCTAAAAAAACAAAATAGAAGTTATAGACCAGGGGGAATTGCAGTGAATGCTTCTTGCTGCTCCTACCCATTGCCATTATGTTACTTTGACAAAGGGGCAAAAACAGTAGTGGTCCTTATGGGGTTACCCCAAAGCCATCAGTGTTTGCTGGACTAGATTAAAACTGTTGGTTAAGCTTTCAAGAGTTGACCCAACAACTGTTCAGCTGAAAGCCAAGTGTGAGACACAGGATGTTTTGGGGCCTTTGATTTCCTTGAATTGTGTCCCATGAGTGATTGGTTTTCACCCAGAAAGTGTGCCTTTCCACGACTTACTGTTTCCAAAGAACAAAGACTTGAGGGGGTAATTTTAGTGTTAAGTATTAGTCAAGGTCAGTTAGAAAATAAGCAATTAAAAAAAAATCTGCATTTTAGAGTGTTAAAATGGCATATTATTAAACAGAATGCTTTCTTTGAAGTGTAATTTTTTTGGCCCTTAAATATTTGAAAAAAGTGAACATTAAAAAAATAACAGTTGTTTTTAGGAAAAAGTTGGGGTTTTTTGTGGTTTATAGTTATAGCATTTTTTACAGCTTCCTCCTTTGTCTCATCTCTCCTAATAGTCAGGCTTTAATAATAGTCATCATCATCCTCATCATAATACATGTGTCATAGTAAAAAATAAAAAGAAACGGTAGAGTTTATGCTTAGGGCAGGGCCAGGAAACCAGTCTGATAAAAACCTAACAAAATTAGACATAAATTTCAAAACAGGAGTATAAAACCCAGAAAACTTGAGTAGGTGGAGTCAGTGACAAAGCTATAAATCTTATTAGATGAATTTTACAAAGCATTATGAACACAAACAGGCCCTCCCATTTTTTGTTGGTTAAAAACAAGTTTTATGTTCTGTAGTTTTACTTTATTTCTCCTTGTTCTCCACGGGCCCCCATCTAATTTTTATTAAAACTCCATGAGAGTAGCAACCCACAACATAATCACCTTTAGTCTCTAGGTTCTAGATTAGCACAGGCCTAGCTTATAGTAGATGCTTAACAAATGTGTATGAATAATATTTAAAAGTAAGTGACAATTTAAGTAATTCTAATCTTTGTTGTGCAGGTGGTCACTTGGCATTTAGCTGTGATGTTGCCAAAGAACATGATGTTCAAAATACATTTGAAGAGATGGAGAAAAATTTAGGTCCTATTAGTTTCTTGGTAAATGCAGCTGGAATTAACAGGTTGGTCACGGATTTAAGTACATTTCTAATATGTTTTCTTTTTCCCTAATGTGTCTTTGTTTAGTATGAGTTAATACGTTAATTAGTTTTTATTCCAATTAGATATAAAACAAATTATTTAAAAATTTTGTCCATACATTCTTGTATATTGAAATATACAATAACGGTACAGTTTGATCAATTTTAGCATTGTAATCAACACCCATATTGAGCTATAGAGCTTTTCCTGCCTTTTAGAAGGCTTTTTCAGTTTCTTCCCAATTAATAGCTTCTCATAGGTAACCACTATTCTGACTTCCGTCACCACATATAAATTTTGTCTGTTCATGACCTTAACTATAATGGAATCAAAATAGGTATTCTTTTTTCGTGGATGATGAATTTGGGACAGAATATTTAGAATAATTAGCAATTTGCTTGCTAAACAAAGCTTCAGATGGCAGTTGCTCAATTAATACAAGCTATTGTGGCTACATGGCACTTAGGAATATTTGTCACTCTACCTGAGAGAGTATAGGAACGTGGCTTCCAAGTGGATCCTTTCTGGCTTATCAGTTATTTTTTGGTGCCTCTCAAACCAAGTTTAAAATGGGACTGTCTAAGTATTCTAGCTCAAATACGAAGCACTTCTTTTACTCAACTTTCAGTAAAAGTGTTACATATTTCTTGATGTTTTTTATTTAATCCCATTTTTTGCATGATTTTTTTTTTTTTTAGGGATAGCCTTTTAGTAAGAGCAAAAACTGAAGATATGGTATCTCAGCTTCATACTAACCTTTTGGGTTCCATGCTGACCTGTAAAGCTGCCATGAAAACTATGATTCAACAACAGAGAGGGTCTATTGTTAATGTAGGTGAGTCTTCACTTTTGTAAAATTATAATTATCTGATAGTACCATAAAAATATTTAATTGACTAAATTGAACTGATTCATGTGTGAAACTTGGGTGAAATGCGTCATTTTATTAAATGTGGAAAAAGGATTTGATTAACTGATGAATGGGTGAAACAGGAATCACAAATTCATATCATTATACTGGTCAGATAGGTGTTAAATGAGTTGACAACACCAGATATTGAACACCAGGCATAAGCCATGTGGTAGATGATAAAAGATGCCCAGATGTGTTGTCCAGGGGCCATTTGGAATGGCAGGTGCATCCAATGTTCAGATCCAGGAGATGGTTGCTACACACAAATGTAGTCCCAGTTTTGCTAGCTATTTTGATTTTTTAAGAGAAATTGCACATCCTGATTTATGTGAAACCTAGGGTGTGGCGTGAAACAGAGCTTCTAAAGCTTCCTGTTTGGCCTTTCTTCCATGCCTGTATTTTTCTCTGTCCCTTTCCCTTTCCTCGGCTATCTTTTATCTCTCCTTGTCCTTCATAGTTCTCTTCCTTTGTCATTAATTGCATAAAATATATACTGTAGATAAATATTTTAATATTGGACTTGCTTATAATATAAAAAGTGTTTAGAATGTTTTCTAAAATAAAATTACTTTTTCAAAAATTTCGTGAGGTTCTTATTAATTTTTCTATTATAAGTACAGGTCACTGGTGCAGACAATTACTTCCCCACTTCTGTTTTGCATGAATTTATTTGCGTACAGTTGATATTTGAATTATTCTTTTATATTCATATAAATGAGGCTGCCCAAGAATCTTCAGTAGGCATTATAATTTATAATACATCACTAAAATTACAGTTTTACAAAAAATTTGTAATCGAAGCTTTGCTTATTTATATTCACAGTAGTTCAAATTTAGAGAGACTTATCTTCTGATGAAGTGTTTCTTTAGGTGCAGGTGAAATCTTTATGTCTATTGTAGAATCATAGAATTAATCAACCACTATCTCACTTTTTTGGGTTTTAATCTTTTCCTACTGGAAACCTTTATAAATACTAAAGGATTTTCATCATGTCTGACCTAGTCAGAAATGAGAGTGGGTTCCTTTCACTTAATGGATTAATTCTCAAGCCCCACCTGGCCTTTGAGGTTTTATATAAGCCTCTTTCAGATCCTGTTTTCTGTGTATTTGGAGTAGACTCATAGTCTTACCAATCAAATGACAATGGTTAGAATTCCTCATTTTAGCAGAGGACAGTGTAAAATGGTTTGTACCCTTTTAGTTTGTTTACTATAAATTATCCGAATATTGAAATAACTCCATTTAATTGGTTTGAATTTGCTTTCATGTTTTCTCTAGGAAGTATAATTGGTTTAAAAGGCAATGCGGGCCAATCTGTGTACAGTGCCAGTAAAGGAGGATTAGTTGGATTTTCACGTGCTCTTGCTAAAGAAGTAGCAAGGAAGAAAATTAGAGTGAATGTAGTTGCACCAGGTCAGTGAAAACTTCTTTTTTCTTTCTAAACATAATTATGTATATTTATGGCTTTATACAATAATAGCAAAGATTGTTCTTGTGTCTGTAAGCACATCAGCATCATCAGACATTTCTCAGAGAGGATCGGAACAGAAACATGGAATCTGCACTGTTAATTAAACTATTGAGTAGCGAAATGCAGGAGTGTGTGATATGTCCTGACAGCACTTACCTGGCCACACCTGGCCCCACTGCCAGGCTGTGCACCACCCTCAAAGAGGAGCCCAAGAGTAAGGCCAGGCTGTTTTGTTTGCATAAAGCACATGGCATTTTTTACAGAATGATTATTCCCAAACCCAGTCACAGGAGAAACTTCTTATTGAAAAATCAGTTATAAATTAAGAATGTAAGATTTTCAAATAGGTGTGTGTGTTGCGGAGGGAGCGGGGGTGCAGGTGTGGGTGGGGGGGGGGTGGATATTGGTAACATATATCCAGTAGATGAACAAGACACCAAATTGTACACCTTTGGAGAAGTGTTTCCATTTTAATTGTTCTTTTCTTGGATGTTCCATTGATTTACTGCTCACAATATTTGCTAATTAATTTAGACTCTGTCAGTTTGTCAAAGCAAAACTTTCCAAATGTGTCTATTACCTAAATATATTCCATAGGTCCTTATTATGGAAACAATACATCTTTGTAGTAAAAATATCTGAATAGCTGTATAATACAATATGCTTTTAATTTACAAACCATAGGAAATAAACAAGTCTGTGTAGGTGAGATCATTTGCACGCTTCACAAAGCAATCATGTATAATAACTGATATACTAATTACTCTGGAAAGTCAGTATTTGTATAGAAAAAGAATAATGTGTCTTTTCAAAATAGACAAGATCCCTTTCATTGGACTTCAGTGTACCCCAGAGAGCTACCCTGGATTCATGTTAGAATTTCAACACAAAGAGAATTTTGAAGGAAAAAGAAGATATTTACACAGACTCAGGAGGAAGTAACATCTTTTTAAAAGGCACTCTATGAAGTAATATGATTTTAATAGTGGCTCTTAGGGATAGTTGCTTCTTTAATGAACGGGCATGGGCTCTGAGGATGGTTGTGTAATGAATGGTATCGGAGGGGGAAAGGGGTAACATGAGCACACCAGTACTCGGGCACCAACAGGTTCTGTTATATATGCAGGAGGCACTACGGAGAGGAACTAAGGCTTCTAGAACCAGACGTATTTGGGAGCAGCCAACAATGAAGATGGCTAGAGAGGTGGCTGTTTCATAAATTTTCAAAATAGCAGAAGTCACAGTGGGAAGCTTACAGCAGAGCTGCCCTCCTGTAGGGGACCCATCAGGGACATGTTTGTTTTTGTTAAACATGTAGGAAAAACCGAACCAGCAGAGATGCAATTCACCTGTGAGACTAAGCAAGTGTGATTTGGGCTAAGTACAGAGAAATCGGAGCCTTTTCAAGAAGGCAAGGGGAACATTTTTGTGCACCTGTTCCTTTTATTATGCTGACTTTGGGTATTCTACATTACTTGAAAATATCGATGGATTGAATGGGACACAAAGCCAGTTAACTTGGTCTGTTAATAACCGGTAATCGTAAAATATTAAAACATAATTTATGATCAGAATTATAATTTAGGTGGCTGAAGACTAAAGAAATTCTTCAATTCTTTTTTTGATTTAGAGAGAAGGGAACCATTAATTGGCTTATTAATTGGTATGCATGGTTTGACACCTGGGTAGAATAATTCTAAAATGATTGTGAAAAGAATCAAGTAATGTACTGGTGGCTAGAAAAAAAATTCCTTGTTATGAAATCTTTAAATTTTGCACTAATTATGAAATAATGTGAGGTGAAAAGGATCTTAGATCATTTATTCTGGTGATTTTTACTGTTTAGAAGACTGGGACCTAGGAGACAGTGATTTGCTGAAGGTTACATAACTAATTATGGCAGGACTATTACTAAAAGCTTTTATCTTTTGATTTCCAGTTAAGGTAAGCTTAAAAATAATGGCCCCTTAGATTTCTTTTATATCGTTACAAGCTTTTAGGTCTTTTTGTCCTTTTGCTAATATGGCCTGTCTAAACTATCTGGAATCTTCCAGTTTTATAACTTTCACCTTTATATTATTTGCCTTTTACCAAGCTACTTGTTGATAAAATTGCGCGGAGTAGTTAAGAAGGTAATAAAAAGTTGCTAAAACTTAAATCTACCATTATCACTCAGTAGTTGGCGTGATAGAAATTTTGGTTAGGTCTTTACTTGACTTTTGAACCAAATGAATGTTTTAATATACCTCTGCCAGTTAGCCCTGGAATCTTTGTCCTAGCTTACTGTAGGTAATTAAGAATTGATTACCTGTATAAAAAAAGACTTTTTAGTTTGGGTCATTGGTTGGTTGTAAGAAAGTGTAGGCTGAAGTAGATCTTTGTTTGCCACCTTTTCATTTCAAGTCACTAATGGCTCCAGGTTGGACCCCAGAGTTGGCGTTTTATTTGGCACTGATGTTGAGCCAGCAGGGATCCGGGAATTGTCAAACTGTTCTGATAGCCATTTTGCTCTATGATGTGCCTTCATCCCAATTCATTGTTCAGTCACCGAGAGTAGCTAAATTCTAGCATGAAAAGCCATGGGCATTTAATAAATGACTATGGTTTAGATATAGCACATCCATTTCTTTTTTAAAAAAACGGTAATCCAAAAGCTTCACTGTCACCCTGGCACTGCTTTCTGTTTGTATGCTTTATGCAATCAGCTTGATTTTAGTGTTAGCCTAGTTTATATGGAGGATAGATTATTTATGGTTTGAGACTACACGTATTTGAGTCCTTCTCTTTTAGGGATTCCAATGGTGAGTAATGAAGAGTTAATTCTAGTTCATTTTGATTTAAAAGCTGGATGGTTTAAGGGTAATGCAAGTGTTCTTAACTCATAATAAATCCTTCAGCAGACTTACTGGAGTGTATCCTATATGCAAGAGCTGTGCTAAGTTGCAAAATTACAAAAATGAGTAAGATACTTCTGCTACAAGTCACTGAGTACAGTGGGAAAGACAGACATATAAACAAATAATTACAATGCCATGTGATGAATGTATGAATGTAGGGATTTATATATGATCTATGGAAGCACCGAAGAATGAATTTTCAATTTTATGTGAGTGAATTAGTTGTCAAGGCAACAGGCTAAATAGTGGGAATCCAGTTTTTATACAAAGGGAAGTTTTATGAGTGTTATAGAAGTGTGTTTGTATGTATAACCTTTCCTAAAGGTCTTTCCAAGTGCAATTTACACTATAGAAAAAACCTGGTGCTAAAAATGTGGCCATTCGATAGGGTGACAGTTATACTTTATTGACTATTCGAGTATTTAGCAGGTTTCAAAGTATGAATATGCTTCATTGATCAGAAGCAAAGTATTAATACAAGTTGAAATAGTAGAATTAAATAGATTCTATGGATTATTTATTAACTTTATTTTAGATAGTAATTATAATCAGATTCTTCACCAGATCTTTTAATAGACCTGACAAACATCAGAATTAACAAATATGTTTCTTTTTATGTCAGTTTTCCTGGTCACCTTCAAATGAAGTTTGCAATTAATGAAAACAGTTTAAAAGCAACTCATAACAGGGAAAGCAAGGAACAAGGAAAATAATAGATTAGGATGTCATTTGCTGCCTAATATTGATTTTTTTAAAGATCAGTTAGATGCTAAGTTTTGGTACTACTTTAAATATAAAATAAATTAGTCATTGTGGATAAATCTCACTGATCGGAAAATATTGAATATGAGAAATGAGTATTTTAATAAATTGAAACTATAATGGGTACATTACTTAAAAAAATATATTTCAGTAGAGAATACAAACATGGTACAAAATTCAAAAGTACGAAAAGGCATAAAGGGGAAAGTGGGTCTTCTCTGCTCATCCAGGTCCTTCCTGCTTTATGGGTGTACCATGATTTGTTTAACATGTTGTTTCTTGATGGACATTTAGGTTGTTTCTGATCTTCTGTTGTTACAACTAATAATGCAGTGACAATACTTGCATGTAATTTATTTTGCACATGTGCGGATATATGAGCTTAATCCTGGGAATGAAACTGCCAAGGCTCAAAAAGGTATATGCATTTTAAATTTTGACAAATAATATAGCTTTGCACTTATTTCTGTGGGGTACCTTAAGAGTTTTGTCCCCTCCCCCATTTTTTGAAGAGCTTTTATGTTGACTACTTGGAGAAAATCATGTTGACAAATGCTTGCATAAACTTCACAGCTACTCAAAACAGATATTACTCTAGGTGCTTTTAGGGGCTGTTTGGTATGGAGTTGATTTTTGCACACTGCTTCCCTGTACATTTTTACAAATGTTAAGACATACAGATTTGTTCTGGTTAAAATCTTGGTCTAGGTTTTGTCAACAGCCTTGTGTCTTCTGCCTTAAAGTTTTTGGGATTGTTTTCATTCTTTCTAGGCCCTAAAGATTTATACTAGAGGATAGAAATCTGAGCAGGTAGATATATCAAGTAGTATACATCCCACAATTGTTAATACTGGTGATAGGCTAATGTCCTTGTGTCTTATTTAAACTTAAAGGCTCTGCTGTATACAAAAATGTTCAAAACTAAAATAGTGACCAAGTAATATAAGCAGGAATAGCCCTGTTCCTAAAGAGTTCATATTTTAAAAATAGTAATACTGTGGTGTCGTCACATATACTGAACTAAAGTAGAAATATCTTTTTTCTAAGTTAGTCAAATGCATGTCGTTTTATTTATTTATTTATCGGTTAAAGGAGTGATAGCTTTGTAGTCAGCTGGAAACCTTTAATTGTGCAACAAGTGATCAGTGATAACATCATTTGTTGGATAGTGGCACTTACTGGTAGTTTATAATTTTTATATCCCAGTTTGGAAGGCATTATAAGTATATATGTAGTAAAATGAGGAGTAGAGCCAGTTTTTAGAATGTTACAAATAAAGCGTATGAATGATATATTGTGGAAGAGAGTCTTATGGCACTAAGGAGAGAGAGAGAACACAAACTGAACAGCCGTACAAGCACAAAAATGGGTGTGTGAAATTCTTAAAAGCTACCGATATCTCTGCTCAGGTCTTATATGTTATAGAATCCAGACTCTTTATATGCAGTGCCCTGGGCTGGGAATATATTTATAGATGAGGATTATGTGGTTCATGAACTATAGCATAAAATGACATTGAAATTTGGTACAGCTGAAGTAATTATCATTAGACATTAGCTTCACAGTTTTTGATTTCTCATAAATTGGAGGAAGATATATATGAGTTTTAAAAAGCTGCAGGTAGATTTTTAGGGCAGTGAAACTATTCTGCGTAATATTATAATGGTGGATACATAACATTATTCATTTGTCAAAACTACAATCCAGAGACTGAATTCTAATGTACACTATGGACTTGACTTGATAATAACGTATCAGTATTGGTTAATCAAATGTACCATACTTAGGCAAGACATTGGGGAAAATTAGGGCTTCGGGGCAGTGTGATAAGGGGGTATAGGGGAATTCTTCTACTTTCTGCTCAGTTTTCCTGTAAACTGAAAGCAGCTCTAAAAAATTTAAGTCTTTTTTTTTTTTTTTAAGTTGCAGTTAATGAGAGAGAGAAAAGTTTTGGGTCTTTGGACATGGTCTTGCTTTCCATATCAACCATCATATCAGAGAGCAAAAATCAGTATTGAATTTGTCCCTTTCCTTTCAAGTTGGCCTCTGACTCCTACTTTATTTTATGCTTTTAGTGTAGAGGTCAGTGATGGCTAGCTGCTCGTCCCATGAGGTTTGTCATCCCAACTACAGGTCTGGGGTGAGACGGTGGCAAACTTCCCCTAGTGAAATAACAGTATCTTTCAAGCTTGAGCAGTGGAGGGAGAATCTTCATGGGAGGTGGGTGCCTGAACATCATAACCCTAGTTTTGGACTTGTATTCATTACTGGACTCAGAGGCACCTCTCGCCCTCTACACATCACAGACCATAACCGAGCTGAATTCAGGCTGTACTGCTGAACAAGGTCTTGTTAAAAGCTTTGAGATGTTACCCTTGATCTGTTCGTATATCTGGCTTACTTGGTTGATTTCGGAGAACCACAGTCTGTCCTAGCAGCCTATATCTGTGTGGTAGAGGCCTTTCCATCTCGCTGAGATTGTCCTTGAACTCGTCTCACTGCCTCATCTCCCTCCCTGTGTAAGGGTTGCCTTCCAGTACCTCATACCCTTTTCTAGATACGCCTTTTTTTTTCAAGGTGAACATGCCTTCGGATGGCCTCTCACAGGTCACGTGGACTTACCCGTTGTCCCCAAAAGGACATAGAACTAAAATCTGCTCAGAAGCAGGGCAGATCAGTTTCCTTCAGTACAACATGGATAAAAACCCAGATTAGCATCTTCAGTAGGAACATTCTAACCTCCACACAGCTACCAATGTAAGAAGTGAGGCTCCTTTTAGGGGAGCTCACTTTCCTGAACTTCAAGTGTGGAAGTCATGAAGACTGCTTAATGGGGCCTATTTTTCATCTTCAAATCACAGTTTTGTAGAGCTAAAAGAAATCTCAGAGACCTATTATTATTTTCAATCTGTTTCACTCATTTTACGATACAGAAACATACAGTTTTAGATAGTACTTGACTTTCCTCCAGTCATAACTTTGGTAGTATTTGCAGAGCAGGGAACAGAATCCAGTTTACTGTGTCCTGATCCAGTACTCTTTATATCACCAGAGCCAGGTAGAAGCTGAGCCTAGAATTTGCTAATCACGGTTACAAGGTCTCTCTGCAAATCATTTTTACTGTAGTTTATTGAGTTTTTTCCCCTTAAGATTAAAACACATCACCGATTCCCCCCCCTCACCCCCCCCAGGGAAATATGTCCTACCAATTTTGGTAGAATTCTAAATGACCTTAGAATAAAGAATAATTGTATCATGAACGCTTTGAGAAGAAACAAGCTTTTAATGTTACATTCATAATTTTAATTCAACATTTTTAACATGTGAAGTGAATTTTCTGAGGCATCTTAGAAAATAAGTGTGTCCAAAGACATAAAACTTCTTAAGATGATTGGGTTGCCTATTGATTATTATAACTCTTCTCTATGGATGAAGTTTTATTTGCAGTTCACTTGAAATTCTGCAGATGCTGGTGATCAGTTTTATCATTATCTCTATCTGCTACTGCTTTTATTCTTGCATTCCTTCTGGCCATGTCTTTGTTCTTAAAGATAAAAGGAAATGAAGGAAATGTTGCTGACTCTTAAATGTTAAATTTTATGGTAGATTGTATTTCATAATGTAATCTCACAATGAAACACACAGAATACAAAATTGTTTTGTTATTCCAGGCCTCATTACAGACAATCTGAAGTTAGTACTTTGCATCTTTTTTCAATAACTTTTAATCTAAATACAAAAATAATATATATCTGTTGTGAACAGTTAGGAAAGTACAGACAAATACGAAGAAAATAATCATGAACTATAATTCTAGTATCCAATATTAATCACTTAATATTTTGGTGTATATTTTTCAGTCATTAGTGTGTGTAGATATATATTTATTTAAATATTTATTGAGGTATTATTGGCATATAACATTACATTTGTTTCAGGAAATATTGTGAAATGATCACTGCAATAAGTCTAGTTAACATTTGTCCCCATACACAATTTTTTTTTCTTGTGACAACTTTTAATATCTACTCTATAGCTACATTCAAATATATTATGAAGTATTAACTATAGTCACCATGCTGTGCATTACATCCATGCCTATTTTATAACTGAAGGTTTGTTTTTTATAGTAGTATAACTACTTTTGTAACCTACATACAAATAGTATTTTCTCTGACTTTAAATATCTTTTCATAGCATCATTTACTGCCTGAATGTTGTTCTGTTGTGTGGATGTACCATTATTTATTTAACCAGTTCCTTTATTGACTTTCAACTTGTTCCCCATTTTTCTCTAATAAAGCTGCCATTATCGTAGGTTTCATGAAAGAAAATCTATGATTATTTCTCACAAGACTGTTAAGAAAATGTTTAGATATTTAAGTGAAAACCTAAGGCAAAAAAAAATAATTGTATAGTAGTACATAATAAACTTGTAGCTTAATGCTAATTCTTAATCCCGTGCTTAGTTCACATTCAACCTGCTATCTTAAATGAAAGTATATTTAGATTGGTTTAGGGCCGGCCGAGTGGCTCAGTTGGTTAAGAGCTCGCTCAAGAGTTTGAGCTCTGAGCAACAGCGGTTCGAGTCCAGCCCGAGCTGAGCAGCCGCTGAGCTGCCAACAGGTAGCAGGATGGCTCAGCTAAAAAAAAAAAAAAAAATAGATTGGTTTATAGTTTGAGTTATAAATGATTTAATTTTAACAACCCAGTTTGGAAACTATTTTTGAGATTGCACATTAAACCTTCACTTCACATGTCATGTCTAACTTTTAATCCATCTAATTTTCATGACCTTAAAATTTTTAAAAATTTTCTAATTGTTCATTTCACGAGGAGTAATTGCTTTCTTTTTTAAAGCTAAATGATTGAGTCACGTACAGAATTTTATTATATAAATTAAGTATTTTATTGATAATACGCATATTTGTTTGTATGTCTCCAGTAATCACAAGGTTTTCATAATAAATCTATAGTTCTCCTCGCATATATCTATAATATAAATAATTTAAGATTAGTTGCTTAATATATTATGTGATACTTTATATTACAGAACTTTATATTTTAGAACATGTTCTCTGCAAGCTGTATTGCACACATGAAGGCCATGTTAAATTTTTAATTTTCTGTGTATATTTGTAAGATTTTTTCTTATATGAATATTGGAAATAATTTCAGTCATCTTTCTAATTATCAGCTGTCTTAGTTATAGCAAATATAAGTAATTTTTGTCAGAACTGCCAAATCAGTTCATGCGACCACCTTTGTGATGTCTTCCTTTCCTCTACCCTCCCTCCCTCCCCTCTACCCGATGCATGTGAAAGTTAATCAATTCTGCTATACTTTGTGTACACTTCTATAAGGATATTCACCGTACTTCCTTGCGTTATAATTTGTGGTGCAAGTGACTACTAACTCCATAAAGTATCGGCTCCCCAAGGAATAGAATGTTTTATTCATGTTTGTAGCTTTCCAACTTACACTGTGCAACGAAACGAGTTGGGCCAAATATTTGGGGATTAGATATTTTATTGTTCAGTAAATGTTCATTGAGTTAAATTGAATAAAAATGTAGACTTGGTTACTTGATTGTTAGCAAAATTCTGTATTTTCTAAACAGGGTTTATTAATAACCTCAAATTTTCAGGAGCAAATCTATTTTTATTTGAAATTCTGCAAATGTCTTAGTGTCTACCATTTTCTACTAAATAAACAAACATTTCTCTTCTAGGATTTGTTCATACAGATATGACGAAAAACTTGAAAGAAGAACATTTAAAGAAAAAGATCCCCCTTGGGAGATTTGGAGAACCTATTAATGTGGCACATGCGGTTGTGTTTCTTTTAGAATCGCCGTATATTACAGGGCATGTTCTGGTAGTTGATGGGGGATTACAACTCACAATGTAATTTACAGATTATTCAGTTAATAATAGTGATTAGAATCAAGGGCGCACTTTGGCGGTTGATGAAACAATCATACCTACATGGGTGACATTTGCTAATCAAACCTATTCATGCTACAAATGTTGATTTTCATATATACATATATATATGTGTGTGTGTGTGTATATATACATATATATATATATATATATATATATATATATATNAATCATACCTACATGGGTGACATTTGCTAATCAAACCTATTCATGCTACAAATGTTGATTTTCATATATACATATATATATGTGTGTGTGTGTGTGTATATATATATATATATATATATATATATATATATATATATATATATATATATATATATCAGGCCGAATTCTCTCCATAAGTTAACCTTGTGGGCCATTGTCAAAATAAGAGTATTTACAGGGTATTGGTTAATTGTCAGTACTTCAGCAACCCTGCTAAAGTTAAACATTGTATTCCTTTTTCATATGGAATGATGAAAAATCATCCAATTTCATTGGATGATCAGTTTTTATATAGGTTGATAAAAACAGTATCACTTGGATACAGACATGAATTTAGAGTCTGATTTCCTTGATTGGCATTACTGGTGGGAAAGCAACTGGGCAAAATAGTCAGCAGACTTAAGCATGGTACAGTTGATCCATTCTGTAGAAATCCTCAGATGGGGAGGACCCAACCTTAAGGTTTTAATATCTGTTAAGGTGATCTCATCAATTTAGAAAGGGCAAGTGTTTTTATTTTTTTCTTCCACAAACAGTCAGTATAGCAAGCTACTTAAAAATACTATAAGAAATAATGACATTTTAAAAATTAAGAGTATTTTTGCATTAGTGAATATAGTGATTTTTACTCTAAAATTTTAGAAAGGTAGTAAATAATTACAAACTATCTAACTTAAATATGCAGTAACAGATTTAATGACTTTACAAGGAACAAAAGCATTCGTCTTAAAATATTTCCCTGAGAATAAAGACACAAACTGAATGTAAAATATCAGAAAACATCTCTTTTGCATTGAACTGTCTTGTGGGGAATAGTGTGATATTTTACATGTCACTGGATTAATATTGATTTTTATTTAAAAATGTTTTAAATATTACTGCATTTTTAAAAAGTAATCTTTTCACAGTTTTATTGGAGCTGAACATTATCTTATATAAACAGATTTAATTTTATATTGGAAGTCAGTGCAAAAGTATGAATAGGATATACTAAATAAATGCAAAATAATAAAAATAAAAAGTTATAAAGTCAAATCTGTGTTTTAAATTAAGATTGCTGATTCCTTAAAAATTACTTTAGAACTTATCTTTGAAAGAGCCTTCTTTGCTTACAGAAGCCTGTTTAGGATGTGAGAAAATCATTAAGAGTGAATAAAATTAGTGTTATTAATCAAATTGTCTACTAAATGCAAGCATGGTAATTTACAGAATTTATCAGGCATTAACAATTTCAGGCACATAGAGGAAATGTAGCAGCTTTGAAGATGGTATCGAATGTGGTAGCTGATATTCTCGGCTAGGAGAGTTTATGCCGACAGAGCAGGTCATTTTTCTAATGCTGCCTTTCCTGCAGGCCATGGCTGCCTGCACTTCTTCATTATGACATCCTCTCAGGCTTGAATTCCCTTCTCTGAACATCTCATGTCCTGAAATCATCAGTGAGGCTGATTTGACTGGTGATTAGGAAGAAAGCAGTGTATTTCATGGAGCTGATGACACTTAAGATGTAGATCACAGATAGGCCTAACCTTTAAGTATATATATTTGCACATTAAGGAATAGAACCTTTTTAACTATTCCACTCTCTCCCCCAGCCCATATCAGACTGCTGGTGTAGTATGGGGAGAGATCTTGAAATTGGTAAAATCTTCACCATTCCACTCCTGGTGAATATTCCATCCACTTCTGCTAACCTGGTAGAATTTGTAACTTAATACTTGCATCCTATTGCTGAAAGAAGTTGCCTGCTATTCCTTATGTTCTTAACAAGAAGACTCATCTGTAGCTGTTATATGACTCTTATGAGCCCATCATCCAGCCTGTGTTTAGCACTTTAAAAAAAAGTTTGTGAGTAAAGCCAGTGTATTAAAATTTTTGCATGACATTTTTTTTTTTTTTAAGATTTTTATTGGGGAATTGGGGAAAGGGGAACAGACAAGTTGCTGTTCTTTTGTTCTTCAGTCTACGTGTGGAGGACATTGCTTCACTGGCCCAAGTTGGCACCATCATTGCGCTCTTCCCAGGCGAGGCAGATCAGTCGCTGGCTTCTGGACGGCNGGCTGCTGGCCACTCACGCTGGCTGCTGGCTACACACGGTAGCCCATGGCAACCCACTGCCACAGGGGCTGCAGCCTATGCCATCGCCGCGACCCACGGCAGCCTGGTTCCAGGTCGAGCTGTTCAGCATCTTAGCTGTAGAGGGCAGTGTCACTGGCCCTCATATGTGGGATCCAAACCGGGGCTCTCTGGCGTCCTGAGCCAGCTCTTAACCAACCAACGCGCCACTCGGCTGGCCCTGCATGAAATATTTTAAAATGTGTTCTCCTTTTCATACTTTTATTCATATTCAGTTTATGGTAGGATTTTTAACTGCTTTCTAGAGATAAAAATTATATGTTATAAATTACTTTGGGGGGCAATAATTTGTGCAAAGAAGATAATTTATATGCTTTTGTTATGTAGAATAAAGGGAGAGGACTATTCTGGATATTCAAGAGTATTGCTGTACATTGTTGAAGCATTTTCCAAGCTTTCAAAATGGAAATATGTGCAAATCGAGGAATCATACCACTACCCTAACTTGAAAAATAATAAAAGTATTTAATAATTTTTAAGTTTCTTTTATATTAATAGCTTTTAACTACATTATAAGCTCTTCAGAATAAATATCTCTGCATTTATTAAGGTGATCTTTAAGCAAGTTTTTATAGTTTGCAGCATGTACATCTTTCACACATTTGTTAATCCTATCCCTAAGTATTTTGTGTTTTTTTAGAGCTATAGTGACATTTATAACATGTTAGTTTCAGGTGTTCAACATAATACAGTATTTGTATTTATGGGGAAATGATCACAGTAAGTCTAATATCCATTACTACACATAGTTACAAAAATTTTTTTTTCTTGTGATGAGGACTTTTAAGATAAAGTCTTTCAGCAATTTTCAGATGTAGAATATATTATTGTTAACTGTGGTCACTGGGCTGTACATTGCATCCCCAGGAATTATTTATTTTCTAACTGGGAAGCCTGTACCAGTTGACCTCCTTTACCCATTTTTCCTATCATCGCACACTCCCTGCCTCTGGCAAATCCTAATCTGTTCTCTGTATCTGTGAGCTCGGGTTTTTTGTTTTTTGGTTCTTTACAGATTTCTGATATGAGTGAAATGTTAACAGTATTTGTCATTCTATGTCTGACTTATTTCACTTAGGATAATGCCCTCAAGGTCTATCCATGTTGTAAATGGCAACATTTCATTCTTTTTTATAGTTTAATATTCCTGTGTGTGTGCGTGTGTGCACACCATATTTTCTTTATTCATCTGTTGATAGACATTTAAGTTGTTTCCATGTCTTGTCTATTGTAAATAATGCTTCAGTGAACATGGAAGTGTATATATCTTTCTGAGTTACTGTTTTCATTTTCTTTTACATTCCCAGAAGTAGAATTTCTGAATCATGTTGTAGTTCTATTTTTAATTTTTTGAGGACCCTCGACACTATTTTCCATAGTGGCTGCACCAATTTACATTTCCCCCAGCAATACACAGAGGATCTGTTTTCTCCACATTCTTATCAGCACTTGTTATTTCTTGTCTTTTTTGTTTTGTTTTGGTTTTTTTGTTTGTTTTCTAACTCCTTTTATTTTTTACTTTTTATTGTGAAATACACATTTTTTAGAATTAGTTTCAGCTGTACAACACAGTGCAATAGTTATACTTTTTACCCCTCGAAGTGACAACCCCCCTCCTCCAATCTGCTGCCCCACTTCCCCCCCAATATCATACATATCTATTATAATTCCCTTGACTCCACTCCCACACTATATTCCACGTCCCATGACCATATATATATATATATATA